TCCCACTCTGGCAAGCCCAGTGTTCCTCTTGGAACATATATATTTTCTCTCTTTCCCTCCTCTCATATCTAAGTGAGTTTCATTCGATAGAAACTATCTTGATTCACTACAAAAAAGGAAAATAAGCAAATGGCTGAAAATAACTTCTGTTAAAGAAAATAAGAGAACAAGCTATATACACATGTAGTATAACATCTATAAATATCAGGTGCATAAATGATTAAAAGAAGATATGTGAAATTTAAGATAGCTTTTATATTAAATTCTTGCCACCGTATTAGGAAAAAAAGTCTTCAGAAGTTGAAGTTAGAGAGACAGTACATAGGGTAAGGTGCTTAAATCGGACACAGCCGACCCAGGTTCAATATCCGGCACCTCTTAGGCTCCCCAAGCCCAATCGGAAGTGACCCCTGTGCAGAGCCAGGAGTAAGTCCTGAGCACTTCTGAGTCTGGCCCCAAAACATAGCAAAACATGGGGCCAGAGCGACAACAGGTAGGATGCTTCTTGCCTTGCACATGGCCTATCTGGATCCCCGGCACCCCATGTGGTCCCCAAGCCACCAGGAGTGACCTTGAGTACAGAGCCAGAAGTAAATCCTGAGTACCACAGGGTGTGGCCCAACAGGAAAAAAAGGTCTTCAATGTGGTAGAATGGCTTTATTTGATTTTTCAGTATGTGAGGTGCCTGCGAGCTTTGGATAATGGGATAGGCCTGGACAGGACAGGGGTATCTGAAAGGGTCCCTGGACACAGAACCACCATCCCACCAGCCTGATACAGCTCAAGCCTCTACACCTCTCACCTGTTCCTTGCTCATGTCTGCTGGGGCGAGCCCATCAACAATTGGAGTTCCTTTGGCTTTCCCCTTCTTCCCCTTCTTTTTGGGTGCCTTTGGTGAAAGAGAGACGACTGCATAAGGGAAGTGCTATCCGTAACACCCTGCCAGGTGTCCCCCTCCCCCCACTGTTCTGGACTTTGTCCATGCCCTGGCTCCCAACACAGCCATATCGGAGTTTTCCTGGCCCGACCACATGTAAATTCTCTTTTGGAAGAATATTTTCTCCCTCTGGAAAAAAGAGGGCTCATCCCAAACACATGCCTCTGGCAGAGGGCCCCTTGTTGTGCCTGCAGAGCTTGTTTCCTAAAAAAGGACCCAAAACCCACCACTGCCGCATGTGACCTTGTTGGCTACAATGCCAACATGCTGGGCAACCACCACAAAAAAACCCTACAGGGAAGTTTAGCGGCTTCATTCCTACACTCACAAACTCCTCAGAGAATCTGGTACAGAGGACCGGAGGGGACGGTAGGTCCACCAGAGAGAAGTGTTCTGAGCAGCTCAACGGGCTGGGACCCTCTTCCCCCACCTCATTCCAAGGGTCTCTCAGGCACACTGACATTTCCAAAGCTTCATTGTGTGCACTTTTCCCAACTTTTTTCCCAACTTGGTTTATGTCTGTAAGTCTGTGAGTTTGATCACAGGAAGTTTTGAACATGGAAGGGAGAGAGGGAGGGAGGGAAGAAGGGAGGGAGGGAAGAAGGGAGGGAGGGAGGGAGGGAGGGAAGGAGGGAGGAAGGAAGGAAGGAAGGAAGGAAGGAAGGAAGGAAGGAAGGAAGGAAGGAAGGAAGGAAGGAAGGGAGGGAGGGAGGGAGGGAAGGAAGGTCACCCATATCCCCAGAAAAGCGCAGATGAGGTCTTTGCAGGCGGTTTTAAAGCTGCCCCCAATGGAATTCTCGCCCTCCTTTCCTCCCGCAGAAGAGACCCGCAACAGCCAGAGCGGGGGCTCTGAGTTCCGGGCTGTCCCCCACCAAGGACCCCCCCGGCCGGCTGCACGGAACAACCGCTGCCGGGGGCGCCCTGAGGAGAAAACCCCCCAGGCAGCCCGGGGCGCGGCGCCCGCCCGAGCCTGCCCAGACCACGGGCCCGAGACCTACGGAGACTGCGGGCTCCGGGGACCACCGTCCTCGGCCCTGCTGTTCTCCAGGGGACCCCTTGGCGGAGTGGGACGGTTCCCGGAGGGCGGGCGGGCTCCGCGTCGCCCCGAGCGCCGGGCAGCGGCCAGAAGGGCCGCCCGACCCAGGCACGGGGGCCCGTGGGCGCCGCTTCCGCCCCCGGCGGGGCCCATCCGTCGCCCCGGGGCGCCCCCGCGGGCCCGGGGCTCTGGGCGCCCGGCCAGGCACCCGGCCCGCGCAGGCCGTGCGGGGGCTGCCCGCGCGCCCCCGCCCCCGCCGCCCGGCCCCGCCTCACCATGGCCGCGCCGCCCGCCGCCTGCTCCCGCCCCCCGGCGGCCGCACCGTCTCCCGGCAACCGCGGGGCGTCCCGCGAGAGCCTCGGGGATCTCGCGAGACTCGGCCGCCCCGCCCAGGCAGCCGCGGGAAGGCGGCCCCGTCGGGCGCGTGGTGTGGCGGCGCCGCCGCCTTCCGGCCGAGGCGGAGGCGCCGCTTCACGCCGGCCGACGCAGGTGGCGGAGGCCGGGCGCCCTCTTCGGCCGCCTGAGGGGCCCTCGCGGCGCCGTGTCCCGTGCGGCGACCGTCCCTTGGGGGCCGCCCCGAGTGGCCCCAGAACGAGCCGGGGACAGCTGGGACTGCGCCAACCCCGGAGGAAGGCGAAGCGCCCCGGACTTCGAGATGGGCGAACGCCTCCTGCCCAGTGCCAGCTGCTGCCAGGAGCCTCCGGAGAAGCCGCACGGCTCTGGGCCGCCTCTGCCCGCTCGGAACTGCCGGCAGGGTCCCCCCCGGCCGGCCGGCGTCCTCACTGAGGCGGGGCTTGTTCCCGAAGGGGCCTTCGTGGGCGCTCGCCTTTCGAGGGGTTGGAGACGCTTCCAGAACCTTCCCCCGAGAGGCGCCGTGGGTAGTTGGGGAAGGGAGGCGCCCTCAGCTTTGCCCCTCGGGGGCGTCCCTCACCCTGCGCAGACCTCGGCGCTCACAGGGCAGCGGGCATCCGCGCAGGCGACAGACCGGGGTCTTCCTCTTTGCTCAGCAAGTTGAGACTTTCTCAGCGGGGAGTGAGTGACCAGCTCGAAGGACTCGGGGGTCCTTGCACAGAGCTGAGTTATTTACAGCAGGCCCGGGGGCCCTCCGTCTGATCTTGTCACTGCCCGGGACCAAACACCACTGGCCGAAGGGACCTCCTCCCCTAAGCGGGGGTCTCGGGGCGGGTTGGCAGGCAGGTCTGCAAGTAATTTGTGACATTTTGCAGGCCTTAATTGGTTTTTTGCTTTCCAAGTCTGGGTGCGTTCTAATTTAAATCGCCACATTCACGGTGACCCTCGCGGCCCGAAGGGGCAAGAGGAGTGTTAACTGCATTAAAGAGATCGGGCATTCGTTTCTCAGACCAACAGCTGGGCTGGCTCGTCCTCAAGATGAGACACGAGAGGCTGGCTGTTGATTCCCTGGCCTCCCTAGGGACCTGCGCTTTTCATACCACGTTTAAGTTCAGATTTCTAGAGAACAGCCCTTTCTCCACGTGTGACTTTTATTTCGCATTCAGTTCAGAAACCCAAGTAAATGGCACCTGAGTTCCAGGCAAAACCACACAGCAAATGGTAACATACATAAACCCACTGAGTTGTGTTTTTTGGTTTTTTGTTTCTATTTTTTTTCACATAAACCCATTGATTTTTTTCCCCCCTGGGGCTGCATCTGATGGCTCGGGCTGTGTTCAGAGGTTGCTCCTGGAGGTGCTCCCAGGGGTTGAGTTCCAGGGATCAAACCTGGCTTCCCACCCCAGTCAGCCGAACTCAGTCGGCTCCTACTGGTGTTGTTTCTAATCTGACTCTTTAAGACCCAGCACCGGTAAGTTGCCCCAGGCCAGCATGAATTAGACTTAAGACAAAGTTGAATAAACACTGGCCTCCAGTGTAAAGTGGCCTTAGGTGAGAGGTGGTTCTCCAGTTAGCTCATAGATGAGGATGATTGATAGTGCCAAAGTGACACAGGGCACTGGTTAGGTCAACCCCACTTGAAGACTGGCCATGACATCTGCCTTGTCCTTCACGCCACATGTCACCCCAAAAGGCACAGTGGCAGGGTCTCCACTCTGTATGTGGTCAGTTGATCATAGCTGGCCAGAACACTCAAGACAGCGCAGAGGCTCGTTCTAGGGCCGCGCAATCATTTTTGGGCGTAGGGGGCACACCTGTGATGCTCAGAGCTGATTCCTGGTTCCGTGTTCGGGGTCACACCTGGCGGGGCTCTGGGGCCCATATTCCGTGACAGAGATCAAACCCAGGTCAGCTGCGTGTAAGGCCTTCCCGCTGTACTCTCTCCGGTTCCCACGCAGCCATTTTAGATGACTGCAAACAGCAATTCTTCTGTCCGTTCTGCAAACTATAAAAGCGGAGAGAGTATGAACTCACCTCAGGACTGCAGCTGAGAGTGCAACCTGAGGTCTGCGACCCGCAGACGCCAAGTGCATCCCGCTCGCTCCCTCAGGAGCCTAGTCCCCTCCACGCTCTCGCGGGCGGTCTGACGGTGGAAGGGCAGCTGCAGGCTTGGGTTCCAGCCTGACGGTGACCTTGAGCGGGCCGCCAACCCTGGCTCTGTCGCTCCACCTGGAGGGTCGGGACAGCGCCCTCCGCTGCTGGCGGGGAGGAAGTGCGGCTGCGACTCCCGCTCCGCATTCGGCAGCGGACCCCGAGCAGGTGGCGCGCTCCGTCTCCCAGGCTGCAGCCCCGCCCCGCGCCCCGCGCAGCGACCGGGACACCGCTCTCCTCCCGCGCGCGCGCCCCGCCGTGACCTCTCCCGCCCAGCCGCCCTGGGGTCGCCTGGCGCGGGCGCGCGGCCAGCGTCCCCAGAGCACGGGCGGCGGGGGGACACCCGGCCGGCCGCGGGCCGGCAGCGCCGGGGCCTGCAGGGGGCGCGCGCGTGCGGGGCGGGGGCCGCACCTGTGCGGCGGCCGGGCGATGCGGGAGCGGCGAGCAGCTGCGCGCCCCGCCCCGCGGGCTCCTCCCGCCGCCGCGGCCCCCGGCTGCCGCCCGGTGCGCGCCGAGTCCGGGCGCGCCGCCGCCGCAGCTGCAGGGCGCGGGGTCGGGTGACGCCGCCGCCGCCGGCCGCATGGAGCCCCCGGAGGGCGCCCACCCGGGAAGTGAGTGCGGCCCCGGGCCGAGGGGGACGCGGGCGGGGGGCATACCGGGCCGTGGGGGGACTCGGAACCCCGAGATCCGAGCTCCGAACCCGGACTGGGGTGGGGCACGCCGAGGCCGGAGTTGGGGGTCCGCGCCCCGCGCCGGCTTTGTTCGCGCTGCCGCATCCCCCCTAAGAGGCCAGAGGCGGCCGCGACGCTGCCCTGGCACTGGGCGAGAGGGTCTGGGGGCGTGTGCCCAGACGCGGCCCTCCGCGGGTGCGGTGGGGGCGCCCTTGTTTGCAGAGGTGGCCGAGGGCAAGGCAGGTGTGCGAGGGGCGAGCCAGTGTGCCCCCTGCGCTCTGTCGGGACTGCACCTGGAGTGGGGGCCCCAGGAGGTGACAGACGGCTCAAGGAGGCACCCCTTTCCGAAGGGGTTTGCGGGCCACAGCGGTAGCACAGCAGGTAAGCGTTTGCCTTGCATGCAGCTAACCCGGGTTCGATCCCAGGCAACCTTGTGGTCCTCCGAGCAATGCCAGGAGTAATTCCTGAGCGCAGAGCCAGGATTAGGACAGGTATGACAGAAAGAGAGAAAGAAAGAGAGAAAGAAAGAAAAAGAAAGAAGAAAGAAAGAAAGAAAGAAAGAAAGAAAGAAAGAAAGAAAGAAAGAAAGAAGGAAGGAAGGAAGACTGGGAACTGGGATGCCAGCCTTCCACCTGGCTGGGATCCTGGCTTCCACACAGCTCCTGTCCCACGGAGCCCAAAGCTGGTTCCAAGTAGGGCTTGGAAGCCGGGACCAACCCACCCACCCACCCACACCACCACCAGCAGCTATGAGGTGGGCAGGTGGTGTCTGGGGTCTTTGTCCCATCCCTGTAGTCTCTGGGGCTCTTGAGTGTGAGTTCTCTCTTGTGGGGGTCTGAGCTGCTTGCACAGACAGTCCTGGGATCCTGGGCTTCCCAGAAGAGCGCTGGCTGGGTGCACAGGGCTGTGAGCCCCAGTGCCAGGAGATGGCTTCCCCCAAAGTAAGAGCTTCAGGAAGCCTGAGTGAAGAGAGGCTGAGCAGGGGCACTTACTCCACTAACCCGAGCCCTGCACAGTGGTCTGGGCGCCCACCGCATGGCAGGTCCCAAGAGGACATGTGGGTGGGTTGTGCCTTTTGAGAATGCTTTTGCATGTGATACCACAATACAGATAGTGCTTGAGCCCTTGGCCCCTGCACCTCCACCCAGACCAGACTGACCATCAACAGGTTTCCTTCCTTCATAATTTGGAGCAAATCTCAACAGAGTAGCTTTGCAGAAATCTACAAATTTCTGCATTTTCCCCCTTTTATTTGGAGGCCATGCTGTAGGACCATGCTGTAGGTTCTGTCAGGGACAGAACCCAGAGTTCCCACACTCAGAACTGCACTCAAGCCTACTGAGCATCACCCTGCCCCAAGAGTTTCTGAGTTAATCTCTAAAAGGGTAGTCTTCTGGGTTTTGTTTTTTTTATGGTGCCGGGGAGTAACCCAGGGCATCTATACACTTGTAAAGCATAATGCTCAATTGTTCACTGACCTACATTCCTGACCCCTAAAGGTAAGTTTTTTCTAGGGCATAATTAAAATTTTTTGCCAGCCAGAAAGCTCAAAAGACTGAAGACATGCTTTGCAAGACTTGGGTTCTATTCTTGGTCCTGCAGGGAGTAATACCTGTTGGGGCAGGTGTGGCCCCAAAACCGGAAGAATGAAAGAAAAAGACCCAGAATGAATTGTTGCAGCTAAACAACTTATAATTTTTTTCTCCCTTTTTTTTCTTCTTTGCTTTTGTACCACACTCAGCAGTGCTCAGGAGCTACTCATGACTCTGCTTGGGGTCAACTCCCAAACTCCCAGTCATGCTTAAGGAATCATGCAGTGCTGGAGACTGAACCTGGGCTTCCCACAGGCAAAACATGTGCTTAGTCCTTTCAGCTGTCTCTTCATCCTAACTGTAATCTCTTTATATCAGGTTGGAGAGAAAGTACCTGCATTGGCAGACCTGGGTTTAATCCCTGGCACAATCTTGGCACCATATGGTCCCCTGACATTGTCAGGAGCAATCCCCCAAACATCACTGCAACCCTCCCCACTAAGACAATAATTTTTTATATCAAAGTGTCCAGACCATGGAGGTGAGCAGGATGTGGGTTGGGGATGCTCCTCACAATTCTAACATGCCTTTGGAAAATCAAGATCCCAGCCACCCAGCTCCAAGTCTGTGCAAATCTGAGGGAGCAGAGCTTGGTCTCACCCTCTGGAGGCTGAGCCTACATACAGTTTCTGAAATGCTCAGCACTGCTGAATCCAGGGACGCAGGTGGCTGCCCCTATCCAAAGCCTCTGTCTGAAACCCTCCCTGTTTCAGAAGCCACTTCCAGGACAGGGCCTGGGGAACACAAACCAGCTTTCCTATGGGCTAGGGCCCCCCTCAGCCCTACTCCCAGCCCTGTGCTGTGACCAGAAAGAGAAGCCAGCAGGTGGTGGTGAACGCTCAACTCCATAGGCCAATGTCTGCTCACTCCCTTGTTCCCAGTTCATGGTTGGTGGAGCTGTGCTTGGCCTTGGCCTTCTGCTCCACCTACACGTTCCAGAGAGGGCAGCCTCTCCCCAAACCACAGGCCCCAGAGGTGGAGCCATAAGATTCTTCTCACCCCACACCCTTGGGGAGCTTCTAGGTTGACTGATTCGGTCCCCCTGAGAAAACAGTGCCCAATTAGCAGCCGTAAGGGTTCTCACGGCCAGGCCACTTCACCCTAGTTCAGAGCCGATGGTGCTGGACTGGATGTGTGTGAGCCCCAGGGGGGCTTCAAGGCCCCTTTCCAGGTGCAGCAGGTGTGTTCCCTGCCTGGCTGACCCCAGACTCCTGTGGTTCAGACACAGCTTCCTTGGGTGGGGAAGGGAGAAACTCAGGGTCCCATAAGGCCGGCACCCCCACTATCTGTTCTGGGATCCCAGCTGGGTGTACACCTACTCCGCACTTGCCTGACCAGACACCATGGCACAGGAGGTTCTGGCACTGGTCAGCAGCACGTGGCAGCAGGAGGGGCATCTCTGGGGAGGGACGCCTCTGGCTACACATGGGGAGGTGGGGGTGGTTGTGGGGCTTCAAGGAACATAGATGAGGAAACCGGTTTGATGGGTCCCTTTACAGGATGGCCCCGTCTTTCTGTGACCCAGCAGATCCCTCAAGAAGCTGCCTAGTCTCTTCTGACATTGTTCAGTAGAAACAGCAATTACATTTTTTAAAAATCACGCAGAAAACAAAGTTCCCAGGCATGAGTAGATGGTGGAACGGGCTCTTCTACAAACTTCATAAATCTTTTATTTTGGGGTTTTGCCACACCTGGCTGTGCTCATCAGAGCTTACTCCGGGCTCTGCTCAGGAATCATTCTGGGCAGGGCTTGGGGGACCTTATGTGGTACCAGGGGTTGAACCCAGGTCAGGTGCATACAAGGAAGTCACCTTAATCATTGTACTGTCACTCAGACCCTCCTGTAACTTTTGTTTTTGCTTATTTGGGGGCCATACCTGGTGGTACTAAGGATCACTCCTGGTAGGGATTGGCAGATCCTATGGGATGCCGGAGATCGAACCCAGGTCAGCCGCGTGCAAGGCAAATGCCCTCCTTGCGGAACTATCTCTCCTGCCGCCCTCTCTGTAGCTTCATGTGCTATTTGAATTCAAGTACAATATAGGTGGCTTTTTATTTTCGGAGTGGGGGTGGGGGGCACACCTGGTGGTGCTCAATGCTTACTCCCACTCCTTGTGGGGCTTGGAAACCACATGTGGTACTGGAGATCAAACCCAGGTCAGGCGTGTGCAAGGCAAGTGACTTAGCAAACTGTACTATCTCTCTGGCCACAATATGGGTTTTGAAGGCAGGCAGTACACAGAGGGTCAGGATCAGACTACTCTGGAATAAAGAGGGTCCAAGGGCAGGGCTAAGGTTCCACCAAAGCAGAGAGGTACTCACAAGGTATGGGTGGGGTCCCTGGGACAGGCCCAGCCTGAATCATTCATGATCAGGTGTCCAGGACAAGAAGCTGTCTCCAATGTTCCCTTTCTCCGGAATCCCCCTTCCCCTTGCCTGGTGCTACTGATTGCCCAGAACTTTAAAGAATCAGTCTCTGCCCACGTCCTGTGAGTGGAGGTGGCACCTCTCTGGGCGTGGGGAGCCCCTTCCCCCAAGTGATGCCCTGTCTTTGTTGCAGAAGGAGTGAAGGAGATTGAGGTACTCCAGGCTCCCCTGGGTACCTCAGCTCCTGAGCCACGTGATAGCTGCCACTCACCCGTGCTGGAGGAAGAGGTGGGTGTGCCAACCCCAGCACCAGGGCTCCTACATGTCACAGAGAAGCGGCGTAAGTACAACTGGCCTTGCCCACATGATCTTCTGTCCGTACCCCCCAGGGATGGGACCCCGTGGGGAAGGCACCCTCTCCCTGCTGTCCCATCTACAGTAGGCCCCCAGTGGCTTTGGTCTTCAGTGTGGAGACAGGTGCAGAAGGCCAACCTTCTGACCCACACTGAAGTTCCCTCACGGAGGGACAGAGCCCATGACGTCCACCCCTGCCCCCAGAGCCCCTGAGCAGCGTCTCTTCCCTGGAGGTGCACTTTGACCTCCTGGACCTCACCGAGCTGACCGACATGTCTGACCAGGAGCTGGCCGAAGTCTTTGCCGACTCAGATGATGAGAGCAGCGAGTCACCTGCAGGTGGGCATGGTGGGTGCTGGGGGTGGGTGCTGGAGCCACCAAATACTGGTCCTCCACAAATGATTCTGACCTGGAATGTTTGTAAAGAAAGATTTGCTACTCCTGCATCATTTCATTCACCCTTGCTGGGTGAGGCCCTGGGTTCCACTGCCACATGCATGCACATGCACATATATACACCGCCCATTTCATGTCCCTTTCTGTTTCACCGGGAGAACTGTGCCTCCTGATACCCCGTTTCAATTTTGCTGTTTTCAAACACCAACAAAAGGCCTAAGCCACTTGAGGTACACTTCAGGGTTACAACACTGTCCAGTGCTGACTCAATCACCCTTGGTTTCACGGAAGACATAAAAGAGTATCCTTGGTTCAAGACCCATAGTCCTAGCAGCCAGTGGGATAGTGGGACCCACAGACCATCCCCCCTGCCTATTTAGGTCCCTCCAAGCAGGGTTAGAGTTAGGAACTCAGCCCAGCCCGAGAACCACTCGCGCCCCCAGCACCGTGATTTCTGAACACCTAGCAACCCTGTGTGCGTCAGATCCCCCTGTGGGCCAAGCTCAGCCCAGCTGATGCCCCCCTCATTTGCTAGGCCTGCAACCTTTTCCCCGGGCCGGCTGTCTGCGCTCTCCTTCCTGGACACGCACCAGGGGTGAGCAGAGCCTCGAGCAGCAGCCCCTCAGCGACCTCAAGCAGCAGCCGGGGATGGTGGACACTCTTCTCACTGTGGAGAAGCCCCAGGACTAGGCCAAGGCCCCGGCCCATCCCTGTGGCTCTGCACACTGCACAGACCTCCGCAGCTCAAGGCTGGAGGCTCTGGCCCAGCACCCGCACGGCCAGTGGCCTTTCTGGGGCCCTGCGTCAGGGCCAGCCATGCCCAAGGATGGAATGAGTGCCTAGGCCTTCTGGAAACTTCTGTCTGCAGAACTGGTGCTGTCACAAGATTCTCCACAGGCCCAGGGGGTGGGAGTCACCTCACCTGAACAGTGGCGACACTGAGGCCCAGCCTGTGGGCTTTTGGCACCCAGCTGCTCAGCTAGTCTGGGTTTGATGGGTCCCCCTGAAACTTGTCCCCTGGAGTCCAGTACTGTCCCCTTCCTGACACCATCAAGTCCAGGCTGAGAAGTCTCTTGACCCTGGTAGCCGAGAGGGAGGCCATCCTGTTAGACCCGAGACCCCTGAGCTACTTTCTCGCTGTTGGGCAGAGAGGAGCAGCTGGGGTCCATCTGTTCTTCCTGGCCACCCAGGACACAAAAGCACACCAGCACCAATACCTGGCCTGGAGTGGAGCCCCCTGAGGGGACTGGGGTGAGGGGACACCAGCTTAGCTACACCGAGTGCTGCTTTTTACAGGCTAAGGAACAGATCAAATTCTGGTCTGATAAGCTATTGAGTTTTAAATAAAATCATACGCTGGCTTTTCTTCCCAGCCCTACCTGTCCTGACCCGTTCCCATGAAACATGCTAGGAAATGAATCGGCACTTCTGGAGCCATGTACGCTGGGGAATGTCCTTTGCCCTCTGACCTTCGTCTAGGGGACACTGCCCACTCCCCCACCACACTTCACTGAGTAGCTCTGAAGTCTGCAGCAGACTTGAAGCCTCATTGGAAAATGAAGCCTGTCAGGGTCAGCACACGGCCTGAGTTTCAGGTCTTTGGGGCTCCTTGGTGCAAAGAGGTTCAGTGCCTGGCTCAGGCTGTTGCTAGGGGACATCCGCAGAGCCAGTGGCACGGTGAGGCTGTGCTCAGGCTGCTTTTCTGGGTCACGTTTCAGGGACAAGTGACCTGGATTCTGTCCTCAGTCACAGGAGGGATGACTGCGAGAGGAGTTCCCAGTTAGCAGGTCCGGACAGGCTCCCGGGGAGAACAGCACCTCAGCCAGGAGGGAGGCCCCTTACAGAGGCCTCAGCTGGCTCTGCCATCTGTGAGCCTAGACTCACCTGTATGAGGAGCAGGCAGTGCTCTGGCTCCAGCAGAATGAGGAACTGGGGCAGTAGTGCTGGAGCCTGGGAGGTGGCAAGGACCCTATGGAGGAACCCAGAGGCATGAGCCACCCAGGCTCTGGGGGACACAGAACCTTCTTGGAGTTTAGGGGAGCACCCCCACACTCATTGTGGGGGCACCAAGCTGCTCAGCTAGTCTGGGTTTGGTGAAGGCAGTTTAAAATTCAGTGACAATGGGCCAGAGCGATAGCACAGTGGGGAAGACGCTTTCCTAACAAACAGCCAGCCCAGTTCGATCCCTGACATCCCATATGGTCCCTGAGCCCACCAGAAGTATACTTGAGCACCGCTGGGAATGACCCAAAAGCCAAACATTAAAAAAAAATTAAGTTGGGGGGAGGGAGAGGAGGAATGTCTGAGCAGATCCAGAAGTTGCTAAAGGCCAACTTCAGCTCCCGTAAATCTGCTTGATCCCATCCAGGTGTGTGCGCACAGGTTCTGGGTGTGAATGTGTGACTCCCACCAGGAGGTCCAATGTGAAATGTGTCAGCATCTCAAACAGGCCTGTGTATGAATCCCAGGGGTCAAAACTACAAAGGGACAGGAAAAACTGCTTTCATTTAGAACACCTTTAAGTAATAAAAGTTCAATGTATTTTATAAACACCAGAAAGAGGCTGAAAGACCTCATCCGGTTGCAAATTTTATTATTCAAACAACCACACTAAACAACTGGCCAAATGCTGGGTAAGTTAGGTTTGCAGGAGCAGAAATGTCAGGCATTAGGGGGCAGCACAGATGCATCTGCCTCTGGGACCCAGCCACCCACCCACCAGCAAGCCCCCAGTGGTGTAGGGGCTTCGATCTGGTGGGGCCACCTGTACCAGCACCCGGGAGTCACACTAGGCCTGAGGTGGGGTTCACCTGCTGTTGCAGACAGAAGATGTGGGGAGGGGCCTAGCAGCTCTCACTGTCCAGAACTGACAGGATCAACAGGGTCCAGAAAAGAGGATGCTGCACACCCAGAGGCCTGGGGCATCAGAGAGCCCCTTCCCTGAGGACAGAGGGCTCGAACCCTCCCTTTCCCCCTAAGCAGCGTAGCAAGAAACCTCACACGCAGAGCTGAGCTACCTGGGGCCCTCCCCCTGGCTCCACCATCCCCCTGGGCCACAGACCAGTGCAGGTGGGATTCTTTGATAACTGGCTTCAGTGCTCCTTCCCTCGGGCCCCTTCATTAAAGCCCGAGGGTTTCCAAACAGTCAAATGCATTTTCTTCACCAGGCAATGAAAGCAACCAGATAACCCACTCATATCAGCTACTGCCCACCTAGAGGTGGCCATGAGGGTCCCACCCATTCCTGAATCCCCTGCTACCCTCCCTCCATCCAGCCCCCAGAAATCTGATTCCAGCTCATGCATGATGGGGAACCCTCGACACAGTCCTGCATGTTGAATGCCTCCTACAGCTGTGACAGGTCCCCCGTGCTAGCCCTTCAGCCTCCATGATGGGACATATCCTCCTCCTGGCTTCTGGCACATTCAACTAAAGTCTTGTAGGTGCACCTTTAGCAGAGACCAGAGGCTGAGCAGCTCCACCTAGCCAGCTTTCTTCAGAACCTGGGGCAGCAGACGCTTTGCCCACTATAAAACACAGCTGCCTGTCAGCCTTTCAGAAGGGGTCCACTTGACCCAACCAAGACAAGGCAGCCACAGGGAAGGCAAAACCCTGGATTCCAGAGGTGTATGTGCCCCTCCCAGCCCAGGACATTCACCTGTCCTCTGGTTCCCTGTACCACACTGGCAAGTCCAGGCAGAACTGACGAGGCCCCACCCTCATCATTGATGTGTTGGCCAATGACCTTGCTGGATGACTCCACCAGCATCTACCCTGGTCAGGGAGAGTCAAAGGGCAGCTGGGCTAAACTGCATAACCTCCTGGTGAGCTAGCTCACCTGACCCATCTGCCTGGAGCCAGGCCCTGGGGCACAGTCCTTTACCTGAGCATAGGCACTGGGCAACCATCCTCATGTCACTCTGGGCCCCAGGGTGACTGCCCTACAGCATGGTGCTCATGAGGTCAAAGAGCTGCTCTTGTGTAAACGGTATTGTACTGGGCATAACCTAGCCCATGATGCAAGGGATGAGGGGTCGCTCAGCACGCCCCTTGCAAATTCCTGCCTGCCTCTCAGGTATCACCCCAGCAACACCCCCGAGCAAGCAGCCTGCCCTGGCCATGGATCATCTACCAGAGCATGGGAGGAGAAGGGACCTTTTGGGTTAGCTGGGGACCCTCCTCCACCCACACAGACTAAGGGAGTTCTGTGCTCACCACAAGTCAACGTCAAACCTCTGGAATAGCAGATGGCCTGGTGTCTAGACTCCCTAGAATCAATGCCCTGCCCTCACATACCTATGCCCCGAGAAATTTATCTCAGATTCTAGACCATCACTTTCCCTGAAAGAGCCAAAGGGCTGAGTTTTGAGTCTGGCACCCAGTGACCACAGACTGCTCACACAGACGGTGGGAGGAACAGGAGGGGAAGTAGTCCTGATACATCCAGGGCAAGAATGGCCTTCAGTACTGCGTGTCCAGCCCTATGGCAGGTCACAGTTGTTCTCAAGGCCTATACATGAAACTCCTAGTGAGTAAGCAGAGGTAGGTGTGTGGGGCACACCAGGGTCTGTCAGCCCCACCCCAGACACCAGGTGCCTCTTGCACTGCAAGAGCCCCCCTTCAGTAACTCCCCAGAGCCAGCCAGTGCCCACCTGCAAGCCAGCTGACAGGAGGGGACAGGACGCAGACCAGAATGCTCAGTCTAGCTATAAGGCTAGTAGTCAACTCATGCCCTCCAGAAGCTATGGTGACCACCTGGGCACTGTCACACTGAAATGTCAATGAAAAATGAAGGGCAGCACACCAACCTGGTGGGGTCATGGACAGCTGCCGCTCATGGGGGTCTCCACTCCTGCCCCCAACTGGTCCCTCAGCTGCTAGACTGAGGAGGCCAGGCAACAGCCCCAGGGGAAGCTCACAAACTGGCATCCCTTCCTCCTCCCTCCAGCAGCTTCTCGTCATCCCAGGACACTCCGGTCACCCCCACACTGGGCAGGCAGTGCAGAGACAAACCTCTGCGGCTGGAGCTTCACACACCAAGCTCCAAAATGTGGTTTACAAAAGAATTTGGGGCCCCAGTGTGTGCTCCACAGATGCTGGAAACAGGACTGTTTGGACCGCCCACTCACCTTCAGTGATCCTCTCGGGGCCTGCCAGGAAGAAGTGTCCTGGGCAGCTCCACAGTATCATCAGCACCTGACCCAGCAAAGGAAAAACAGCTGAAGGCAAAGGTTTGTCGTGGGACTTCAGCAGTGAACAGGCCTCGGGCAGACGAGGATGCCTCACTGGGCCCAGCTGGCCCCTCTGGGAGAGCCTGTGTGGACATTTGTTCACTGATGTCACTCATGCCATGCCTGAGATTCCCCTAGGGTCCCCTGAGACCCATCAGGAGTAAGCCCTGAGCACTTCCCCCAAAACCAAAAAATAGTAAGAAGAGTGGTACCTTTTGACCACACTGTGGATTCCTTGTTTTGTAGAAAACACATTTTCCACTCTCAAGTACCATCACTCACCTCAAACAGTGGCATACCAGAGCAGAGACTTTCAATCTGTTCTCACCCACAGACCAGCACTCGTCCATGGACTTCCCACTGAAAACCACTGCAGAGATAGCACATCTAGTCCTACCACATCTGTGGCTTTCTGCCACAGATGGACATTAACATGTGGTCCGTTCAAATTTAGAAGTCCAGCCTCAGGAGTCCCACAATACCTCACTGTGAAAATTACCTGAGGAGTGGGAGGGTGGAAGGGACTGACTCAAGACCCCCAGGGCCTGATGCCCTCAGTTCCTCCAAGTCCAGGATTGGTCAGTCAGGCCTGGAGAGCTGAGGATTTTCAAGGAAATACTTCTCTCCCAGTGTAAATAAATCATCTTCGATACCAGTAAAAATCCCCAAAAAGCACTTTAGCATACAAAAAAAATAACGAGGAAATAACAGGGAGTAAATGCTAGGGAAGCAT